CTTTTATTGGCAACATACAGCAAATGAATGAGGTCAAAGGTATATTTCTTGTTTTTCATGAATATTTTAAATTTTTGTTATAAAAGTAACTAAAGTGTAAAGAATAGAAACACGATTAGGTTAGATTAGATAATGAGAAAATAATTTTTCAAATTATGCTTGCGAGCAGCTTTTTTGTTGCATCATTAAATTTGATAACATGAGCTACACGCTCACTGTGTGATTTACATCTTGTGTTGTGGGGTTATTAGTCAGACATGGTTCAAAAGGGCAATGAAATTGAGTATAAAGAGGTGAATACTGTTTCAAATCCTAAGCTACTTAGGATGAACAATTATTGTTTTTGTTACATTCTGTAGTCATTCTAGAAAGAAAGAAAAAGTTAAATTAAATCTATTTCCTATTTTTTATTATCGTGGTTAAAAGGTCGATCAAATTGACCAAGTCTGTATAAAGTGTTTCTGAAGAAAAATGTTTGATATTTATTTAGGAGGTTTTAGAGGTTACACAAATATAATTTTGAAAATTTTCAGATAAAGAAAAGTATTTCAGTCTTGACATTAAAATCACTTTGCACTTAGAGCAGTCAACACTCTCACTCCATATATTCACATGCAGTTATTTTGTAAAAATACTTAATTCAAAAATCTGATTTTTATGTATAAAAGACTTTTAATGTTTAGTAAAACTTTGCCAAGTTTTGTAGAAATGCATCAAGCACTTTCATAGTTGTATATATATCTTCATGGTGGTTACAGGTTTGTGTGGAATACACGAACCCATGTTCATAGGGTTAAGATATTTGTGTACTGAGTGTTTAAATAACCTGCCTACGTATTCGTAAAATAGTTATTATGGTAAAACTTTAATAACAAAAACTTGGAATATTAATACAGGGTTTGTCTTAAAAAGTACTGTACCTCAGTAAAGGGAAAACACAATTAGTATAGCTTAAAAACAATGCAATTTCAAAGATTGATATGTGTTTTTTTTTAATGAGAATTTTTACTTTATTTGTTGTGAGAATGTAGTGATGTTTTGGAACATTTTGCACAAAATCTCTAACTCTCTCAACATGGGCTGGGTCAATTTGACCGACCAAGTGACCTCTTTGTACTCGGTCTTTATAGTCTTAATACTTCTAACTTTCAATATAGTGTGTATATATTCACAAAATTTGGCAGTATTT